GCTTATCTATAGTGGCCTGTTATCTCAACCAATTATAGTATATCCTGTTTTTTAATAGCTGACCATACTGAATAGCATGTAGTTTCTTACTATCTAATATCTATATTACAGATTCTATCTAAACTTCATGCTGAATGGTAGTAACATCATAGACTTCTCTGCCTTGATCCTGGTATATAGCCCTTAATTGCTTCTAAGACTGGTTCTGACTATAATTCTTTGACTGATGACCTGCTTTACCGCAGCTAAAGTATAAGCAGTCTTGTTTACACTGTTCAAGTTTCTTCTTAGATATTTAAGTCTGTTAAGTCTGATGCTGTGTAGCATCTAGCTTCATTAGTTTCAGCCTATAAGGATCTTTATATCCCAAGCTTCTAGGTTGTGCCGACCTTCTATTATTAGCTTAGTAATCTGGTTAATTATTATATCAAGATATAGACTTGCTAGTTTATCAACCTTCTTATTATTTTATATTAAAATTATATAACTTATTATCAATCTTAACTATTATTTTAATTATCTTAGTCAATATGTGCAGTTATTCTTACCAAATGATCTTCTCTTAGATCTCTATCTTGAATCCTTCTTTAAATTATAAGATATAGGTATTATTATCCTAGTCTAAGTAATTAATAACTTATTAAAACTCTGAAATATATGTAAATATTGATCCTGTTTACTTAAATTATTATAATTTTTATTTAATGTTTTATACCGTATTAATATCTCCAAATATCTGTTTAAGACATTGTTTAAATCTGGCATAACTGGTGAAGAGTTGCTTTATATTATTATCTTGATTATTTACCAACTTTTCTTGTCACTCGCGGATATATGGTTTAAACTAATTAAATATCACTTCGGTCAGGTAAGTAGATATAAAAAAGATCTTGTTCTCCTTATTCTTGAGCTTTTCCTTGTTTATGTTGAGGTATAGATCTAATTGGGTTAAAAAAGCTCTGAGCCTTGCTTGTTTGCTGTTGAATGGCTTGGGTGGTCAGATCTTAACAGATTTGACTGATAAGTGATCTTTAAGTAACTGGTTCTGTTGTTTTAAGGCAGTGATGCTTTCTTGTAGCTGACTAACCATATTTATCAGTTTCTTAGTTATCAGGCCCTGCTGAGGCGCACGTGATGTGTTCAATATGGTTAATATAATGACTAATTATCACTGGGTAACACTCGTACTGACTGGTGCTTAATGTGTCAAATCTTAGGATCGCTTCTCCTTATTCCTGTTAGCTTAGCTCCCGTTCCAATATGTACCTGTGAACTGAATCAAGGTAAGTCAGGTTGATGACTATCTAAAGATAACTTGATCTGAACAGAAGAAGAGAAGTAAGGCTAGATAGTGTTGTGTAGCTATCCGTAAGTAAGTACAGATGAGTATTGTTACTAAGCTTTATCAAAATATATGATTACTTAAAGATAATTTGATTAAGCACGAAGAACAGAACTAGCTAAGTACATGAAAGAGTGTCCTTATATCCTATCCTTCGTCATGGCATCGCCATGATATGTTATGTCGCCGATATGTTATGTCGTAGCGCTGCCATGTTCTGTCGTAGCGCTGCCATGTCCTGTCGTAGCGCTGCCATGTTATAGCGTGTCGGTGACATGTCCGTCGTGATCACGTGTTGTGTAACCGTCCTGGTTGTAGGTCACTCAGATCAGGATTCTACTTGATAAGAGTCCTTGCTTTTCCGGGCGTGGCCTTCTGCCTAACGAGTCCGCCTTACTAGTTCGTTCAGCTAGCAGGGGTCCGTAACATCTCTCCCTTTTCTTGAACGTATTTTGTTCTCAACACTTCTTTATATTCGAGTGTTTGGTAACTTTCCTGCTCTTTAATAAACAATGTCCACTATGCATAAACATAGTAAGACATTCTCTGAATATACAACTGAGCCAGGTCAGCATTCTCTGATTGTTTTTGTGTTTGATATAGTTAATGATTCATAGATACTAAAGTTTCTAAAGACAAAGAAATCAAATACAGCAGATTTATTTCGCCTCAGAAGTATCACGAGAATAATGATTTTCATTCTTCCAAGAAAATAAGGATTATCCAGTCAAGCTTCTTTAATATACACGAAGGAATGATAATATTTACTAATCAGGTATTTACCATGATACTTACTAAATGCTGGATATTAATATACTTATACTTTTTAAGAAAACATATCGGTCTCTAGAAGCCCCCAATGCCTGGTATATATATCTGAATTTCATGAAAACAGTTAAAGAATTATATTACTCATCTGATATACAGCTCAAGAATCCTATAAACCAGCTAATCCGAAACCTGTCTTTACTGTTTTAAGAAAAGATTAAAAAGTCAAATAATAATAAAGTTTCGCTGCTGTTACAAGAGAAATATAAAGAATAGATTTTATATTTTATAGACTGTATAATAAATATTATAATCATAATAAATCCTGAAGATTTAAGATAGCAGGAATTTTATAATCAGTTATCCTATTTTAACTTTATATATTATACTAGAACCCGGAATCTCTGTACAAATAAGCTTAATATCAAGATATTACGGATGTTACTGTGTTTTATATTTAAGATTAATCTAGTATTAATAAATATATTTAATAAAATTATTAGATATGAATCTGATCAGAGATCTAGAGTAAGAGTTTATAGACCTTATACACAGATAGGGATTACCATTCTGTAATAAATATTCAGAAAAAATAAGAATAAGTATTTAACAAAGTTTAAGATTATAATAAATCTTAATATTAATCTAGTTATTGACTACCCTTTTATGCGGAGCCTGAAGCTATATAGAGCAAATTCTTTAATTATCTAGAGATTAAGGGCACCTTATAAATCCAATATGAGTAATATTAAGCTTTAGGTCTTCTTACCCAGCCTAGATAATTATCTTTATTATATTCATATCTTTATTAAAGATTACCTGAGGAACAAATTTCTTCGCAGCATGGCATTATCTAGACTAAGATAAGAGATAGATTATATTAAATTACAGATTATTAAAAAAGACTTATTATCCTCAGCTTATTCTCTATATAACCATCACACTTAGATCAGAATAATTCATCTTATCAGTTTATCTGATAAGTCAATATTGGCTGGAGTTTTTGTCCTGATATAGCCCTCTACTGATAAAGAAGTATAGTATTAATAGTAAATCAGTATATTAGTTCACTTTACTATACAGCTTATACGCGCAGGTGTTAGTTTCATGTAAAAATCACTAACTATATATAACAGTAATGCACTGTATCTATATTAAAAAGGATTAGAGAGTAATCAGAGAAGAGAGCTGGATGCCCTGTACAGTGGAGTAATAAACTGCATCCTGTCTTAGAGAAATCCTAAAGGTATTATCTCTTTAACTTAGGGAAGAAAAATGTTGGGACGGGCCAAGACGCGAACCCCTGAACCGCCTAACCATGATAAACATGAAACTCACCACCGTGATTAGTAAGGCTGAAAACGCATAACAAGACTACCAGCCTATTATGCTCAAGAGCAAGAGATCAATACTGAGTAAAGAAACACGCGCTCCCAGCGGAAGAAGAAGAACCGGGGTAAGCCAGTAGCCCAACATGAAGTGGCGACTTTGGATGACTCCTTGACAGAGAGCGAGGACTCAGACGCCTCCAAACTTGTAAAAGAGATTGTCAAGCTCAGGAGAGAAATTAGACAGTGAGATGAATTATATAAGAAGGAGCTCCACAGAGTTAAAGAAGAATTTAGCACTGCCTTTACAGAGTTTTAACATGAATTACAGACCCTAGTAAATCGATCCCCGACACTGCAAGCCCACCCTGAGTCATGCACTCAGAACAGCCACAAGGAGATCCTTCGTGAATTCCAATCCTTACACATTGCAGTCTATCTTTCAGGATCCTCGTCCTATGTAGATATTGCCCGTACTCCCCTTATCAGCCAACCAAGCAATATACAGACTCTCTTATCATAAAATATAATATTAACTACCTTTACCGACACGCTATATTATATAATAAATATCTTAAAGATAACTGATATTAAAAGTAAGAAACCATCAGCAGGTCCAATTAGAATGGTAGTTAAGACCAAGATTTAGATAATGAAAAATTACATGAACTAGTGGTACTGTGCTGTCATAGTAGACTTAAAGAATATTAACTAGATTAAAATTACTTGCTAAAATAAGACTGAATATTAGTTAATTAAAAAGGTGGTGGAAACCAAGATCAGTGCAGGAGCCCGAGTGCTTCGTAATAAACTTTATCTAATTAAAGTTAACAGTATTAACAGAACTACAGTACTTAATAAAAATAGTAATATCCGAGTAGGAGCTGTGGCAGTCTTTGATGAGAAAAATAATACCACTATTTTCAATATCTCTCATGACTACATACACTACACACACTTTCACAGACCATCCTAGTCTATTCTCCTGCATACACCGCAAAATATTTTCACATGTATATGAGGGCTTCCTTTTACAATTGTTTCTGAGCCATCTCGAGCACTCCGATACATTATAGGCCGTAACATCTGGCTTAGAATATCTGCTGTCCTCATGCTATAAGCTTTTAGGTATTGTCTTGTATGCGAAAATGTTTTCTCCAGGATGGTGCGGTTCTCAATGATGGGATCCACCCCATTAATGTAACTTGTCTGTCCACGAAATAAAATTAGAAGACAGGCCATAGCTACCTGATTGATGATACTCACAGATTCTATTTTGGCCTCGAATGGAGGCATGTCACCAGTGAAAGAAGTCAGGTCTTCAGAGCGCCTCCCTAAGCACTGGAGTAAGGCGCTATACCAAGGCATGGTAGTGAAAACAACTGTGAAACAATGGATTCAATGGAAATATGTATTGGTCTGTGCCAAATTGCGGTGTGTATCTGGGACAAGGCTGGCATCTTTATAGACTATGTGGTGCTCTTAATCCTGAGCTATGCATATCCAAGATTGGCAAGTTGATAGGTAAAGTGTGAAAGGAAACCCTACTCAGTCCTACTTGTTCTTACTTAGTCTTATTTGTTCCTACTAATTCCGGCTTATTCCTACTAATTCCTATACACTCACTCCTACATCCTCCTATATCCTCCTACATCCTCCTACATCCTCCTACATCCTCCTATATTCTCCTACATCTTCCTACATCTTCCTACATCCTCCTACATCCTCCTACATCCTCCTACATCCTCCTATATTCTCCTACATCTTCCTATATCCTCCTACATCCTCCTACATCCTCCTACATTTTCTTACACTCTCTTACATCCTCCTACAATCCTGGATCAATGTTTTGGTGCATTTAACGCCAGACTTGGTTGCAATGCAACGCCTCGTATTGCAGCCGATCACCAGTACTTTTTTAGAGCAGCCTTCTAAATTAGAAAATTCATCACATCCATTTATTTTCTCTGGCACACAGTGATTGCGGCACAAGTTGGCCCCACAGGCACAGCGCTTAGGACGGTCTATTGATTTGCATGGTCCTGCGCCGCAGCCACTATAGGGAAAACAACTTGATTAGCATAAATACCTAGCAAGTCCCTTGAAAAATGAATCATTACTATCATCCTACAAGAACCCCTTTCCTCTACTACATTCACTGCCCAAGAACTAAATATCCTTCCAATGTCTCAAGCGGAGCGCACCGATCAATCTAGCGGAGCCAAGTACTTTGGCAAAACCTCGCCTAAGGAGCTTAAAGACCTTGAACGCAATGCTGCGAGGGCTAGATCAGATCAACTAGCCAAGGCCGCATCGTATCTCGAACAAGCCTTTAGTGGCATGGAAACAGCGTGGTTTGATGGATGGGCACTTAGGCTTCGAGGATCACGCCGAGAGACCCACGACCTCGACTTCCTTATCTTGGTCCCCTCCGTGATCGAGGTTAGAACTGTTTTGGCCCAATACAGTTGGTATGTCCTATAATCACGAAACCTCTCTGTTGGCTATGCTGAATACATACTAGGGCAATATTGGCATTTTATGAGACTGCTGGTGGGATTCAAGAGAGGATGTTCATTGACATCGATGAAGGGGGACAAGTTGTTGGTGTAGATATTATTATTTCTGGTAAGCAGGTCTGCTTAGTAATTCACTCTTTTCTGACATCAGTCAGCCATGGCTTCAAGGGTATACTCACTGATGTCTTAATAGGTGCGATAGGAACCCCTAACCTCAGCGAGTCAGAATCTCGTGAATCAATTCCTCCATCGTTTCAAACACCACAAGGGAGCCGGGTGAACGTTATCCATATTACATGGCAAGTCGAGATAAAGCTTACTGCGTGGTTCGCAAGAAGGAAGCACTCAGACTTTCTCGATCTAGTTTTTCTCTTGACTACTTATGGTCGTGAAATCGCGAAGTGGAGTCAATACTTAGATAGAAATATGCGGGAAAGTTTCTATCAGGTCTATGGCTCAAGTAAAGAGAAGGAAACAAATTGTGAAGCAGTAAAGAAGATGCTTTCTTTGTAACGCTATATGGCCTTTATGTTATATTAATGACGGATGAATGCTTATAACTCGGATATCTGACACCGCATGTCGTAACCTTGATTCAAGAGAGCTGAGTAAAAAAAAATGCAGGGCATGTACGCCGAGCAAATAGTACTAGTTATTATTATTTTATAGAGTTAGAAATTGAGGTTCCGGTGGTAATCTTCTAATATACACCCCTGAGACATTCCACGAAAACCCCTTAACTTCCCTCAAGTTCAGATAGAGCTAATGATAAAACAGACTGAATATCCTGCTAGAGACCATTAAGACATGTCAGATAGCTCTGTCCAGGGATCCGGCGCGCCTATAACACGATGCTGAGTTATAAAGACATCCTTGGGTTTTGTCCAGTCCAACCTGTCTTCCTTGGTGCGCACCAAGGACAGCCACATCTCCCGTTTGTTTCTCCGTCCTTCCCAGGCAAATAGAGAATTGGCCCACTCTCCGCCAAACTCCTCTCCCCTCTTATTCTTTTCTTTGGCCCATTCTACATCGTTAGTATCCTCAAGGTTAAGGTTATTCTCGCCCCATTTCTCTGAAACATTGGTACTGTCTATAACATCGCAAAGCTGGAGCATGTTACAGGTGTCTAAATAGCTTTGAATAAAGACATCCAGCTTGAGATATGGCAACCCTCTGGGACTGCGTGTGAAGTTGGAAGGGTCACAATCAATATGCATGTTGATTAAAGGAACAAGGAAGAAGTAATGATTGATCCCTCTGCTTTTGAACCGGTGGTATGTGTGGATAAGAGAGCAGGGACTGTAGTAGGGCCACGGTTTGACTAGGCGATACTGCGTTGCGTATGGTTCTGATTGTAGTAGCTCTGCTGCCTGGCCCACGAGCTCTGTTGAAACGCAAATCTTCCAGTCCTGCGACATGAGACAGATAATATTAGTCTTTACATAAAAAGGTAGAAGGAGATAGAGCTCCTGAGCGACTTACATCACGAACTCTGCCAGCACCGTAGAAAACGAGGGCAGCTATACCAACCAGACAGCAAGGGATACTATGCTGTTCCAACACCTGTGTAACGGCAAGAGTATCATCCATGCCATATTCATGATTAGACGCGCATTCGTTGCTGTATGTGGACTCGGTGTCTGAGCAGTCTCCGGAATCATTGGTTTTGTTGTCACTATCTAACCTGTCCTGCGAAGCAGTGCCTAGAGAAGACAGGGGATGATGTTTTAGCCAACTCATGATCGCCCCAATAGAAGCAGATCGAAGATGATGGCAGAATTATGACTTGTTGAACAATAGATAATAGAGTGCCCCTACTTACTAGAGAGGATTGGAGTGGATTCTCAAGGAAGAGTCCGTACTCAAGAGTCTGCTCAGGGGAATGGACGGAGGGAGTCAATTGGCCTAATTGCATGAGACCCAGGCAGGTAGTAGAACCTTGAAATATTGTAATAATCTACTAAACGTAGCCCAGAGTACGAGTGCTTGAGTGCTTAACTATCAAATATTTGGCCGACGTGGCCACATAATCGGAGGTTCCTCCCTTGATCGGTGTAACAATCTTTCCGTTTCTGATGTCAATTCCAATTGTGGTACCCAGGTGATTCACACCTATTAGCCGCTATATCTAAGATAATAGGCAACTAGATAGCTTGGGAAAAAAATTGATCGTCAGCCCTATTAGCCAACTAAGTAGTTAGTTAGTTGGTTCTGTATTAGATAAATAGTGAGATATTTAATGGTCTGTTGAGGTATCTTGTCACATGACAGTCGTTATCACATGGTTATCTGCCAACAAGCCAATACACGTGGCGTTTGACTTACTAAATATAATCATACTCCTACTCCTTCCTACTCTCTCTGACTTTCTCTTACTCTTTCTTACTCACTCCTGCCCCTTCCCGCTCTCTTCTACAACCCTTCTATGCGCTTTACTTTCCACAGACAGCCATGCCACCAGTGAGAAAAACCGCTAAACTATCAAAAACTAGTTTCAACCAACTCCTTGAGAGAGAAACAAAAGCTTTTAGTGAGAAGGATCGCTCATTGCTGATTTATCAACAGAAACGGCTACAGTCATGCCTGCAGCTTCTGGACGAGGGTATTTCGTCTGCTAGTTTATCTGAAACGCAGCGGTATGGAAAATTAAAAGTGCGGAATTTTTTGATGGAATTCTTCAATCATTATGATGATTGGGCCTTTTTACTCTGCGCTATTGCCGCGAGTATCTTCAGGATACAAAAGATTCCAGGTGACGGAATGTTGGGCGTATACCAGTGGTTTGAAAACGCTCTAAAATATCCTAACGGCCTTTTGTCAAAGCTGCAGAGGTCTGTGATGAAACCTTCAAGTGCAAGTATTGCCCAGGTTTGTTGGAAAATGCATTATACAGATTCAGTTCTGACACTTAATAGATAGTCTACATGGAAATCATTCCACGAATCAAGCTCTTACCACGGACACAGAAAACCATTCCACGAACCAAGCTTCTCCCACGGACACAGAAAACCATTCCACGAACCAAGCTTCTCCCACAGACACAGAAAACCATTCCACGAACCAAGCTCCTCCCACAGTTATAGACCTCACTCCTACAGAACTTCTGGGTTTTCTCCAACCAAGCCAGGCTCACTCTTCAGGACTGTAGATGATATGTCCCTTGTTTGGCTCGCCATTACCTTCAATTGATATAAATTTAGACACATCGTCGGAGAAAACGGCAAGAATCGAGCTCTCTCTCAGAGCAAGTGAGGCACTGATTAGTTATATAAGATTCTCGAGAGATTTAAACAGAGTGGCGGAAGCATCGAATTGAAGGATTTTGATATATTCTGCAAGTCTTACCAGGCTTAATGATGATTATGAAAATACCAGAGCTTTGTCCTGGTCCGGAGACTTTATTTAATACTGGGCTGGTATCGACTCTAACGGCACCCCAAGTACTGTCTTTCTTGATAAGAAGTGCAGGTACTGATGGATTGACACATTTGAGATCAATCCCAACTGTCCATTTTTCGTCCAAAACAACGTTTCTTTTGATCTGTATGGATATAATTCAGAAGAAGATTTCAGAGAAGAGCAAATAGCTTTTGATGAAGTTCTTTTCTCAAACCTTTGCTTCAACCAGCTTTTTAAGCTCTTCTACATTATTTGCAATGTCGTCGACTGGTATCACCTCACTTTTTTCCGCCATTTCCTACTATCGAATTAGCATTCTCCATGCTCGAGGTGTTTAGTGGTTAATAGAGTATCGGAAATTCGTACAGTAGAAATCAAGCAACTTGACAAAGTCATTATATACAGATTTCAGACAGTATAAATTAACAAGCGTGCTTCCAGGGAGAGATATGAAGATCAAAGACAGTCCTTGGATGATAAGAGCATGGTGTTTGGTGAAGATTTTAGATGTTAAAGATTTTGGTAGGATTGTCCTTCGCTGGACAAATGCCCCGCAGTTCCACAATGACTAATCTCCAACTTGGGCATCAAACATCTGCTTAGGTAAGGTGTTGTTACTCAAAGAACATATAGATTTTGTTTTTTAGGTGAACGCGAACGTCTTCGATTTGCAAACATTCACGCTAGTATAGTATTTATACAAATAAGATTTTTTTTTCCAACGTTGTGTATCGACGAACCACTAGACAAGAATATCGTTTTAGAATCTGGGTCTACTCATTGCCTTAAGTAGGGGAATTTTGTGCAACAGTAAGTAGGAATAGATAAGAATAAATACGAGTAAACACAAGTAAGTAGGAGTAAGTAGAAATAGGTATTTGCATTAGCCCTGGTCCTATTACGCAACCTACGTCATGAGAACCGCTCTACCAGCCCTCTTCAATTTATTTACTAAGATATTCTCCCTCCATTGTGCTCAGTGAGACCTAATATATATCTAAAAAAGATAACACGCATATTGTGCTTGCACAGACCTCTTATTAATAGTTATGCAGCGACTATTGGAAGAGTGGTATATATTTAAGATGTAGCCCTGCAGTTGCGATCGCTCTTTCATCCAAACTTGAATTTGGAAGGTATTCAGAGGTTTTAGTTAGAATTGCCTAAGCCAAAGGCTGTTCCATTACTATTTTCAATCCGGACCAGGCCCGGACAGTTTGATCCATCCTCAGCGTCCCACAGTGGTTTGTATACCTCTTCCCCAGCTCCTTTATAACAATCAGTTGATATTTATACTAGCTTCATAGACCGTATAATTTGTAACAGGCGAATCTGTCGTATCAGATCTAAATATTCAGCTTGATTATCAGGTTAATATGTGTGTTTACTCTCATGTGGTGTAGTATTATTCCCAGTGTACTTTCCTGGACGAGAAAGATCATACTATCCTGATAAAATGGAAAATTGAGATAATACAACTAATCATAAGTCAAGATATTATTAACAAGCTTTCCTGCGTGAAGCAGAAAGGCAATGATAGATATTGCGCCGACGCAGTGAAATGGCTATCTAATCTCGGGTTAACCAAGTTGAAGGGTCACTGCCCTCTCTGTCTAGCAAAGGGTCTCTACAATGACTGAAAATGGTTAATTAACGCATGATTATATTTTTTATCAAATAAGATACTCGTTTTATGTTGAAGTTGTAAGAAGTTATATGTTATATACATAAGCATTTCAATGCAGATATAGGCTTGCTCCTTTTTACTCGCGAAAATGAAATTCTTGGGATAGTTAAAAGCTCCTCCTCCTAATTATAATAAATACGGTTATCACTATCCCCAAAAAAAGTCCAGTAAAGCAAAATAGATGTGGGTATGAGGGAGAAGGCGTAGCCTCTAAATCACGTATGACTTCTTCGGCAGTCTGGTATCCATTTGACCAACATTTTCTGATTACTACCTGCAAGTTCGGAGTAACAGTGTCTAGATCTGGAAATTCATGCTGGTGCAATGACTTCCGGATTTCTCTACTAGGTCTATCAGCATATAACAGATGTTTAACGCTGATTTCATAGATAATCATTCCAAGAGCAAATAGGTCGTCTATCTCAGTAGAGACAGAGTCATCGGAGCACGGTCTCGCATATCGGGTCGGATATGATACCGCAGCTGAAATGTTATCAATTCTAGAGCCACCAAAATCCGCCAAGGCCAAGCTGCCGTCTTTCTGAATCAAGAAATTATGGCACCCAAAGTCGCTATGAATCACATTTTTGGTGTGTATAAACCGTAGGGCTTCGGCGGCTTGCACTGGCCATCTTTAACAAGTCAGTCATGATCCATGGCAGCCTAGAGAGCAGTCTTACTGAGTTCGCTTCTCTGGATACTTTGATAGCGCAAGATTGTCCATAAGGGTACCAGCGCGTTGATATTGAAACACAAGTCCGTTTGGAAGACCATTTCCCTGGCTATATTCGCCGTAGTATCGCAGAATATAGGGATGACGATCAAGTCGTTCATAGATGCGTTTTTCTGTTGGCTGTAGATTGCCCATAAACAGGATGATCGAAAGTTTTCTTAATTACGAACCCGGTGTCGGCTATCTTAACAACATGTGCAAAACAACCGACACCTGCAAGTTGTATCTGCTTTCGATCTGTTTTTTGCAATGCTTTCATTACCGAGCATGGTAGCATGTTTGACATGGAGTACTTTCTCTTCCGTTGGGCAGATGGCGACGCGTGAATGATAGGCTCGTTAATAACATGGAATATATTCCTAAACTAAGCAGGTGACGAGCGACGTTGAAGCTATTGAGAAATGATTCTGCGGGTTGTGCATACAGGTATCAGGCAAAACACTTAATTTTGTTGATCGCAAGGGGGTGGATTTTGTTTCGCGGACGGTAACAGAATATGGGTACCAGGTCTATTTTGGGCGTTTGGCCTAATTAGATAATACCACGTGCACACTGGAGTTGCCAATGAGGTGCTTTGGAATGGAACCATTCTAGCCAAAGAATCGTCAGAAAAGGAAATATTCAATACCCGACCTGTCACTAAATTGGAATATTCAGTCACAATATATGTGACATGAGATGATTTATTTTATTTTATTCGCTAGCGATATACTGATGACTTCTCGATCCTGCGACGCAAGACATGATACAAAGATTATTCAAGGTTTATATAGAAATGATAAGATATTAGCAGCGAAAGGAATCGCAGGGAATTTCGTAGGCGTATTAATGATAAAAAGAAACCTATCAATATAGGGGATCTAGCAAAAGGTTGTAGAGTAACTCCATACCCTGCGGAGACGTCTCCATGTGCTCGCACTGCCTCAACAAAGAGCGGTCCTGAAAGCTGCGAACTGGTTTAATAAGTGAGGAATCTTCAGTTTTCAGTAGGCCACCCTCGATGCCAGGTGTTCGGGAGTAAAGAATTTTAGACAGTAGGATGATAGTTTTAACAAATATGCCATTGTCTCCGAGTTGCCAATTCAACTGAACGCCTGGAAAAGAAAATAGTAAATATATCACACTATATTCACTCCAAAACAAAACTCTAAAGCAGATCTAAGTACAAAAGAACTGTCCACATTAAGCACGCATAGATATGATACAACATTCCAGGTCACAATTAGCAGAATCTCTTCTGTTTTGAGCTCCTCGTCAATAAAGAAGGGACAGTAAACTTCAGATGTCTCGACCAACGCATTCGTAGCGATCTCAAATTCCTTCTAGCAAAGCGTTGACAAAAGGACGTTTCAATCTGGTCCCATGGCAGCCCTTGCTGTACTAAATCCCGCAGGTGATTATCTTCCACTTCCGAGTAAAACTGGGATTTGCAAGGCAAGGGCCGGGCAACATCAAAATCATGGGCCCGTTGTAAAGCCGTCTCAGTCTTAGCCTTAGCTCTTGTTCGAGGTCCCGTGGCCGTCCCAACATGGTGGTCTGCTGGGGAGGTGGGGGCGGAATGTGCTTAACGAGTTGACTGTGCTAAGGTCGCTTCATATGAGCCCATGGATTGTATGAAAATGGATTGAGTACCTTCTGTAGCAAGGCTTGGAGGTTGAAGTTCAGTTGGCTGGTCCGGAATGGGATGCATCCCAAGGGAGGTAACGTCAGTAGTACTGGATTGTCTCTTATTTCCTTTGTGACGCTTCGCGCGGTGAGCATTTGCCGAGTCAGGCGCATCCAAAGCCTCACCATGAGTGTCGCAAGGAAGGGGTGCTGTGGGATCAGCGTTCTTTGGTGAATATTGCTTGTCGTCATCCACATCACAGCAGTCGTGGGTGTCACTGGAACTTGTACTAAGTGACGGGGGAGTACATTCGATATTGTAGGCGCCTTGATTGGCTTTCCCTGGAGAGCTATGATCGTTGTATATCTGAGGGCCAGGTGTAGAGTTGTGCTGGAATTCGCAATGGTCATTCGGGGAGGTTATTCCAGACAAGGAGGGTCCAGCCGCACCGGTGCCCAGGGGCTCTCCCGGGGATTTATTGTGCAAATTATCATCTTTCTGTGAGAAGGAGAATAAGGTATCCGGGTGTGGCAGGTCATCAAGTTCATCGAGGCTTTTGAGATCATCGAGCATACGGTCAATAAGTTCAAGGTCGTCGCGTCCGTGGACTTCATTAGAGACAATTAAATCCCATTAGTCAAGGTTGACAAAGAAAGATGAGTGTAAAAACAAACCTTTGATCTGGGAGGCGGCTTTGGATATGCCAAGCGTGTTCACGGGAGATCTGATTGCCGTATCACGGCAGACTGCACGTTTTGTATGCAGTTTGCCCATATTCTCGCCAGTGTTGCTGTTGCCTTTCCCCTTTGCGTTTCTTGGCGCTGTCGCTGAGGCGTGGGGAGGCGCGAAGCTTCCAGAAATGAAATTCTTGGAAACAGGTGGCTTTGGTGGGAGGGGGTGATTCATGGGAGTGGTATGTGGTTTTAAGGTGGATGTATAGGGCACTGATGGGAGTGAAAAGAGGGGATCTATTTGGGGCAAATGATGAAGTTTTGAAGTGGTGCTTGGGAGAGGTCCGGTATAAGAAATCTGACGGTCCATGTTGGCAAACATAGTTGCAGAAAAATCAACTTAAAAAAGAGATAGTTATGCTTGATGCAGCCTTTGTTTTTGCACATTCTGCTGATGTGGGAATTAACACAGATTTATAGTCTGACAAGTAAAGACAGCACGCCGTTCCCCGACACCAAAGAACCTACTGTAGCGGACAAACCGATGCACGCATGAATCTGTCACACCAAATCCCAGGCGCACTTCATGAACGCCTTAGAATCTAATCCTCCTCCCAAGTTCGTATTCCAATTTGGCCAATACATTCCAAGCATCGCGAGGGGCGGCCCAAAAGCCACGCAATCCCATCTATTGACCCATGGCGCATTTTCCGAAAAGGGCAGTTGCTGGAAAAGTTTTGATTGGTCCGGACGAGGGGTGATGTTATTCGCAAAAGTGGTGCCTGATCGGTTAACTATTCTCGGTGTGATGCATGCCGTGTGCGACGGACCAGGGCGATAAAACAGGATGCATAATATGCACGGACTATATTTTCAAGGCAGTGATGCACCGCATGGCGCAGCTGAGCATTTTACCTCCTTCACCGGGTTGAGAGCGCATCGAGGCCTTGCCAGCTTGTGATCCTCACAAGCGGACAATCATGGTGGATGACGGCATCTCCGAGAGGCTTGAAAAGATCGCCGATGAGGGATTTCTGCCATTGGACATACCGTGCAGGCACGGCAGCGGGAATGCACGGCGCCAGCAGTATCACGTTAGAGTCGGGCTTGGGCCCGTGACAGAGCAGACTTGGTTGTTTGGGAGGTGGCAAGCGGGATCGCGAGGAAGGTGGGGCACATGTGAGGCAGAATGTTCCCATGACGAGAGTACCATTGACATCTATGGAGAAAGTGCGAGATTGTCAGCCTCATTGAAAGTCTTCTCATCGGCCCAGATAGGAGAAACTGAAAGAAAACAGAAGATAGTAGAGCCGGATAAAGTACGTAGAGATTGAACGAGCAGTAGGGGCCAGGAGGGAGCAAGATTGTCTTTACCGTATCAAGGGTCGGCTGACTGCCCGTCGGAAAAGAGGACCGCCATTTGCACCAACATTACTCCAGTTGTCGTCGGCAGGACGAATAGGACGATCCTAGTGGTCTAGGTGGAGAGACAGGCAGGGCTCAGCCGCAATTTGCGACGCAAAAAGAAAGGGGGGGAGAGGAGAGGTGGGGGCCAAAGAAAAAAAGGGGGCTGAGTACGGCCGGCGAAGGCGCGCAAGGCAAGTGCAGAATAGAGGGCGAAGGACGAGGAGAATCAAGAAGTTGGAAGGGAAAAGTGCTAGAACAGCGAGAGGTCAGTTCTTATAGTCCTGGGTCAGCGGCGGGCGGTGATTACAGTACGCGGTATCCGGACACCATTCCCGAAACGGCAAAGCTAACCGGAAGCGGGAATTCACAGGTGCTCGCTTTACAACACAAATGTGGGTGTTAGTCTTTCCTATTAGCTTTTGTCTCTCTGGCTTTCTACCACCTTCCCTCCTGCTTCTCTTTCCCCTCTGTCACATTGATTCCGCGAAGGATATTCTAAGTGGTGTTCTTTTTGCTCTTCCCTTTATAATTCAACCTTATATTCATAGGCTTATTTACAGGACTGAACTTTATCTTCCTCTGTGTGCTACTTAACTCTTGATTCCTTGCTTTCCACACCCTATATATATTCTATTAGCTAAAATCTGTGCTCTTTTATGAACAATAACGCTGATCATTGTATAAATATCTTTTGTTTGGTCATATCTTTAGCAGGACAAGACAGATCTATTTATATTGGACCGCTCTTTGATGTCTAATCCTATGTTTGAAAACAGATGGGTCTTGTATTAACCAGTCATCTTGGCTTCGTTGTCTCACAACCACTTCATCTTTCAAGACTGCAGGATCCTACGAGAATAACTGGTTTCAGGTAAAAGTCAGATATTATAAATATTCATGTTATTACAGATCAGGAATCTCCAGAGAAGACCTAATCAATAGCAAGTACTGGGCCTATAATGGGTTTCCCAAGCATGAGTAGTTCCGATAGTAAGTAACTCTATCTATCTTTTTTCTTTCTTTCTCCCACTTTATCTACAGTTTTCCAGCTATTTCTTTCTACCCCCTAAAAACCACATGTGCTAATCATACTTCATTCATGTTTAATAAGTATTGGGTGACTAATATTAAGATCCTTTTCTTCTATTATTTATTTATTTAGGCCTCTAGACAGGACTCTTTTCTATAAAAAAAAATAGACATATATATTATGGATATTACAGAGAAGCCTACTTCTTATTATATAATAAAGAGGAGCAAGACTATCTTGATATATTTTATAAATTATTCATAATGGTACAGGTGTCTACGAGCATAATATACATCCTATATCCCAGAAATAATAGATTTCTAGATCTAGGGTGCAGGACTGGGATCTAGGCCATTGATATCGCCCATGAGTATCCTGATGCTTTTATTATTAGGGTGAATCTAATATCCATATAGCCTCCTAATTATCCCAGTAACTGCGAATTCTATGCGCCTTTTGACTTTAAGAGCTCCTGGATGTTTGGAGAAAATTCCTAGGATCTTATTTATTTATAGATAGATTATAGCAGTGTTGCTGATTAGTTGAATCTTTACAGACAAATCTTAAAGCATCTTTAACCAGGGGCGTGGTTTGAGCAGGTGGAAATAGATTTTGAACCTTGCTGTAATAATTACTCTTTAAATAGTCTGATATTAGACTAATGATTTCAGTACCTGAAGCAAGTAACACAAGTCACTATGCGGCCTATAGCTCATAACTTATATAATATTATTAAAGGTCTTGAAGAGGCAGGATTTATCTAGATCAATCATCAGATAATAGGATTACCTCTCAACCCTTGGCATTGTGATGAACATGAGAGAAAGATTGCTTATTAATATAATCTAGCAATCTCCGAGAGTATTGAGATGCTTAGCCTTGCCCTTTTCAGTCATATCTTTAACTAGTCTTTGGATAGGATTGTCAAACCCTAGGATCGCTTCTCCCTGTTCCTGTTAGCTTAGCTCCCGTTCCGATACGTACCTTGTGAACTGAATCAAAGGTAGTCAGGCTGTTGACTATCTAAAGGTGACTTGATCTGAACAGAAGAAGAGAAGTAAGGCCAGATAGTACCGCGCAGCTATCCGTAAGTAAGTGCGGACGAGTGTTGTCGCTAAGCTCTACCAAAACGTAGGTTACTTAAAGATAATGTGAATTGAGCACGAAGAACAGAACTAACTAAGTACATGAAGGAGTGTCCTTATATATCCGTCCCTCGTATACCATTCCGTATACCATCCCGTATACCATTGGCATATACCATCTACCCGATCATATACCCTCTCGTATACCCGCAGTCACGTGACTCGTGACACGTAGCGGCTTAGTCCGGGTCCTGCCTGATAAGAGTTGCATCTCTCCGAGTGCCGCTCTTCTGCCTGACGTAACCGCCTCACTAGTCCCTTTAGCTAGCAGGGGTCCGTAACAAGGATCAGACAGATTGCAGCTGAGGCTAAGTCAGAAATCTTTAATAAAGAAATCCATGCTTATAATCTCTTACACATATATCAAGCACGGAAGCCGGGCGGCCTGGCCTATTAATAATTCTTTAAACAGATTAATCTAGGACTAGCTTTAATGCAGGTTTTATTCTGACTACTTATGTATAGTCTTTTGTAGCAGGCTCTCATGCCTGCTTCAGAAGAATGTCAGGAACGTATTCTTTTCTGTTATACTGTTTCTTACTGAAGTATAGACAGCTTAGCCAGTGAATTATTCAGGCTATCTGTCCTTTAATAGGAGAGCTGAAAGCGCAAGAAATTCTACTGTGACTATAATAAGCCTGGGGTACTACAGCAATCTAGAAATAATATAGCAGGTTGTTTAATCAAGAAAACAGCAAGTCTAGAAAAGAAGCATCCTTTCTAACTCTTACTTTTATGAAGAAAGGTTACTATATCTACAACATGATTATTAATAAGTAGAAGCAAGAACAAAGAATCTTCCAAAAATCAAGAATATCTTTACTACATTGATCAGACCATACCTGCAAGCTGTATATACTGATTTTACAGTTTACTTCTCTAGAACTAAGTCTACCTTCATATCTAACTCTGAAATAATACATGATTCGCGACATATGGTAAGCAGTAAGACTAATAACACACTATATAAATATCACAGGATAAAGATAATAATATATGTTTTAATCAACTACCCACAACCGAACAGGCTACACAAAAAAAATACAGCAAAAGATTAAAGGAGCATTTAATAATATTTTGGATATATTAAAAGAGTAGGTAAAGAGAGAAAAGATAGGTTAAAAAATTCTTTATAAGATAGTATTATTCTAAAGGTGGTACGGAGACCGTTAAGAGTCAGGGACTGGATTTTTTCTTAACAAATAATAAATTATCATATACTAACCTGCTCAGTTTACCAGCCATGTCCAGATTAAAGAAGGCTGGGAAGAGAGTTCTTCAGAACATCCTTAATCCTAAAAAACTTGAAGTTATGTATTAGAAATTTACAAGGCCTACTGTTAATCCTGGTAATCCTATCTTCTCTACTTTATAACATAACTTAAGAAACATTAGCTTTTATTTCAACCTGGGCGACCATATCCGCGAAGTGCCCGATCAGAGACCAGAAGTAAAAGAAGATGCTACTCAAACTGCCAATGTCTTTCAGTGGCAGGCAACTATACAAGCCGAATTAAGATCAATTAATGATTGGGTCAGAAAGAATAGATTCTATAATATAATCACAGAATTCAAGGTCCCGCAGGATACTATTTAAAAAGAGTTTATTAAAATCATATATATTATCACAAAAAATCTTTAGAAAGACTAAGACTGCCAGAGATAGGCATGCCAATAGTCACGTCTCTATTTAGCTTGTGTGTACATATCTTGACTTAGCATTATCCTAGCAATTTCAGGATATTCTTTATTTTTATATTTCCTCTTCTAAATAGCTTGGCTGTGCACTCTAAATACTCTTGCCCATTTAATATTAACTAGCTAGTTTTATTTTCTAATAGTGTGCAGTTACTCCATATTAGTGGTTCACATAATATAGCATATCTGAGATTCAGCTTTAAAAACAGAAGATCTTTTCATATACTGTAATAATATAATAGCAGAATGTTGTTACGGACCCCTGCTAGCTGAACAACTAGTAAGGCGGGTATGTCAGGCAGAAGGCCACATCCGGACGGAAGGGGGCTCTTATCGAGGAGGATCCCGACCCGAACCGTCAGGCAGCACGAATCACGTGACCATGGTATACGGACAGGCATGTGGTATACGATATACCATCATGGTCTATGACTACCAAGCGGGTATATGATAGACCCGATGGTATACGGAATGGTATACGAGGGACGGATATATAAGGACACTCCTTCATGTACTTAGTTAGTTCTGTTCTTCGTGCTCAATTCTAATTGTCTTTAAGTAACCTATGTTTTGGTATAGCTTAGTGACAACACTCGTCCGCACTCACTTACGGATAGCTGCGCGGCACTATCTGGCCTTACTTCTCTTCTCTTGTTCGGATCAAGTCATCTTTAGATAGTCAACAGCCTGACTACCTTTGATTCAGTTCATAAGGTACGTATTGGAACGGGAGCTAAGCTAACAGGAACAGGGAGAAGCGATCCTAGGGTTTGACAAATGTAATATAAGTAAATCTCTGTTACAGTAGCCCAGCTGGTATTACTGTAATATCATCCTTTCCAGTAACCGCCTTTGGAACAGCCTGCCACAAGAAGATATGATGCAATATAAATAAGATAACAGTGAAGTACGGAGTAATATTTAAGAAGTCCACTACTGTACCTACTCTTAATTATCTATATTATTTTATATGGGTCTCTTAATAATTGCCTATAGGCCTCGCAATAATTAGTTAGCTTAGACAGACACTGGTATTAGCTGTTTAAATAACCTAACCCCCATCACAAGCTAATGCACCTACAGCTTTATACACACCGAACCCTCTGAGATATATGAAAGAAAACTCGCCTAGCTTCACTACTTAAGATCTCCTTGGACTACATTGTTACATAATCCGTTTATAGAAAGATCTCGTATGGAGCAGATACATGTAAGCAGAAGCGACCTCGTCTAACATAATCCATAAGCAAGTAGGCCGCACAAGCAAGTGGGCCGGCGCGCGCGTTATTCTCGCGTTCTTTAACTTGAAGCTATTCAACCACCAATAACTCCACCAGACATGCCTCAATCGTCAAAATCTTTGGTGGAATAAGAAGGCCGTATCTGCCTAGCTGTTGAGACTATTCAAAGTGGCAGAATTTTACATATAAACAAAGCTGCGAGCGCTTACAATGTTCCGCGTTCAACTCTGCAACGACGTATTAAAGGAGTTAAATCACGTTCAGATATATGTGTCAAGTCTATAAAACTGACTCTTCTTAAAGAAGAGGCTTTAAAAAACTGGATACTCTCACTTGTTAAGCGTGGGCTTCATCCTCGGCCGTCATATATTCGGAATATAGCATCTATTCTTCTTTAAAAACATGTCTCGAATTCCGCAGTCTCTGTCAGCGAAAACTAGGTATATAACTTTGTTAAGCATACACCGGCTTTAAAGAGTCAATTCTCTCGAAGATATCATATCCAACGTGCGAAATATGAAGATTCCAAGCTCTTAAGTAAGTGGTTCGATCAGATTAAAGCTGTAAGAAAGAAATACAATATTCTCAATAAAGATATCTGGAACTTTGATAAAACAGGCTTTACCATGGATATAATGGCTACAGCACGTGTAATCACAAGATCTGACTATATAAGTAAGCTATTTTTTATATAGCCTGACAACCGCGAATAAGTGATCTTAATTAAGTATATCAATACTGCCGGTGTGGTGTTAGCGCCGTACTTAATTCTTAAGAGAAAGGTTCATATAGAGACATGATATTAAGACCTTATTTTATCTGATTGGCGTATCAATCTATTGCTAAATAGTTGGACTTCTAATAAGATTAGTTTACATTAGCTTTGTGAACACTTTATTCCTTCTACTAAGGACCAGCAGATTGGGCGATATAGCCTTCTAATTCTTGATAAACACGACTCCCATTTGACTCCGGAATTCAATAATATATATAGTCAAAACAGTATTATTCCTATCTATATGCTTCCGCATTCTTCACATCTTTATCAACTGCTTGATATTGCTTGCTTTGCACCATTAAAACGAGCGTACGGAAGCTTAATAGAACGGCTAACTCGTCAAGGCGCTCACTATATTGATAAGATTGATTTCTTGGATATATATCCAGAGGCACATTTTTTTGCCTTCAAGAAATCAATTATACAAAGCGCCTTTAAGACTTCAGGATTAGTACCGTTTCAGCCGGACAAGGTGCTTGGCCAGCTTGTTTTACAACTACGGGAGGCTACTCTAACAGACATTATAATCACTACATCAACACTACCAAAGACGCCCAAGAATACGAGGCAGTTAAAGAAGCATGAAACAACAATTGAGAGACATCTTCATAAACGTACAATTAGTCCTTCCTTGCAGATAAAAGCAGCCTTAGCCTATATTATAAAGGATTGCAAGATCACCTTCAACCGGACTGCCTTGCTTGAAGAGAAAGTTAACAAACTACAAGCTGGGCTGAAGAGGCAAAACACTAAGAAGAAGAGATCATATCATCAAATAGCAGGCCTTAACAGCCTTATTATTAATGAGGCTATAAATGCGTTTATACAGGCTTATGAGGCTGATAAAGTAAGTGATATCCGGCCAGTAGAATCAGCTGTAGAGAAAGAACAGCCTTGCTGCTGGGCACCGCCTCACTGCAGCAACTATAATACAGTAAGATATACAAGAATAAGATATCCTACACATCAAAACATTATATAAGCACGAGATTTTATATATATAATGGCTAATAATTACTTCATCTTTTCATGGAAGTTATGTTGACGGGCGCAGCTGCCTGCTCACTTACACTGCCCGCTTGCTTACCAATTACGTTAACATAATCAGACACCGGACCGGCACAACACCGAGCCAGCGCCGGCCGCGCCGCGTCTTACACCCTCAACATCTTAAAGTCAAAGAACTCTTCCAAATTGCCCTATTCGCAATATATCATGATTTCTTTAGTGTTTCTTTTCATATATCAATATGGCCGATATGAATGAACGCTTAAATCTCACCATTAAAGCCTTTAAGAGTGGGAAGTTCTCTACAAAGGCTGCCTGCACTGCCGCGTTTGACATCAAGATAAGCACTTTTAAAGATCGTTTAAATAACATCAAATCACATACAGAAAAAGATGCCAATAATAAAAAGCTATCTATAATTGAAGAAAACATGTTAAAGCAGTGGCTTCTTGATATGGCCTACCATGGACTGCCTCTTAATATCTGCAATACTTAATTCTCTGCCTAGCTACTTTATTAAGTAAAGTTAAAGCCAAATCAGCATGATACTATATCGGAACGCTGGATTACTTACTTTATTAAACATCATCCAGAATTGACGTCCAAATTCACATTAAAGTATAACTATCAACATACTAAATATAAGGATCCTTATCTTATTCAGAAATAGTTCGACCTCATTCGCAAGACAGTCCAAAAATATAATATTCTTAATAAAGATATATAGAATATGGATGAAACTAGATTCTAGATAAGAGTTACTTCAACCACTTATATAATCTGTGACTCAGAAACACGAGAATCACGTGCTAAGTATATATAACCAGAAAACCGTGAATGAATGATTTTAATTATTGTAATCTCAATCTTAAAAACAGTACTTCTACCACAGATTATCCCTGCAGCATAGAATCATTAATCAATATAATATAAAGTCTGCCTAAAAATCTTATTATCTGAGTATCAGCGAAAATAGCTAGACTACTAATAAGCTTGGCTTTGACTGGCTTCAAAACATGTTTAACCAGTATACAGCTTCAAAAACTGTTGGTAATTATTGTTTATTAATCCTTAACAGCCATAACAGCCATGCAACTCAGTAATTTGATTAGTTCTGTATAGCTCAGAAAATAATTTCTTTATATATGTCTGCCCACTCGTCCCATAAACTACAGCCGCTTGATATTGCTTACTTTAGACTGTTAAAGAAGTTATATGGTCAGCATATATCTGAGACTATTTATTATAGAGAGAAATTAATTATAAAGCTTTGATTTTTTACAGCTATCTCACAGTATACACGCTAAGGCCTTCTCTAATATTAATATACTCAGTTAGTTCCGTGCCACCGGTCTCATTCCTTTTAATCCTTAAAAAATACTTGCAACGTTACAGATTCAACTAAAAACATTAACTCCACTGACATTCTCATATTCTAATCAGTCTTTTTATCTCAGAAAAACGCCTGCAAATTTGTATGAGCTTGAAAGACAGATAAGAACTACAAGAACTTGCAGAACAAGATCTGACATTAATAGTTTTATATAAAGTTATTGAAAAAGTGATCAAGGCTGCAGAACAGTCTATACAGAACGCAGTCCTGTTTTAACAACAAGTTAAGCAGTTCCAGTCTATACAAGCAAGTAAGAAAGAAAAGGCAAAGACCTCACGTCGCTATATACAGTATAGAGATACTTTAATAGGCTAAGAAGGTTTTAATATAGCTCAGGCGCGAGAAAATAAAGTAATTAAGGCTGCAGTATCAAGACTAGCCAGGACATGCCGGCCTGCCCGTTGCAGTATATGTAGAAGTGAAGGACACAATTATTTAAGATGCCTTCATGAAAATAACAAGAATTAATATATATAGTC